ATGATATAAATCATACGGACAAAATGAAAGTGCAATTAGACCATCTATATCACAAACAAAACAATAGTGTGTGTGTGTGTTTTTTTGAAGAGTGTAAGCGTGAATATATATATATATATATATATGTGTGTGTGTGTGTGTGTGTGTGTGTATATATAAACCTGTGTATGTGTGCATGTATGTATGCTTGCATGTGTATTTGTGCATGTGTGTGTATAACTGTGTGTGAGTGGTTTGTCTGCATGTGCGTGTAAGTAGTGTGTATGTGTGTGTGTGTGTGTGTGTGTGTGTGTGTCTGATGTGTTGTTGTGTTGTTCATCAGTGGGCACAGTGGGAGCGCTACACAGTAAAGATGGCGGTGTGTGTGTGTCGGGCCTGAAGAGCTCCTCATACACTCCTCCACACAACATGCTGGACTCCACCGCTCCGCGCATCAAGAGGGGCAAAGAGAGAGAGATCCCCAAAGTCAAGAAGACCACCGCCATGAAGAAGGTGCACACACACACACACACACACACACACACACACACTTTGAACCCCACAGGATGTGACATCACACATTAACCCCACCCCGTCTGTGTGTGTGTAGATCATTCTGCAGGAGCGCGAGGTGAAGAAGGGCAAGAGTTCTGCAGATCAGAGTGTGTGTGAAGCTGAAGAACAGAGAGACACGCTGAGCTTCACTGACACACTCACACAGGAGCAGGATGGTACACACACACACACACACACACACACACACACACACACATTGTACAGCGCATTTGTAATTAGTGGAGAGTCTCTGAACACGTGTCAGACACACGGATGTGTTTCCAGTGCAGTCCTGCTTTACATGCGTCTGAATAAAGTCTTGTTGATGTGGATTGTGTGTGTGTGTGTGTGTGTGTGAGTCCTCATGCCTCTATGTGTGTGTGTGTGTGTGTGTGTGTTGTAGAGAACGGTCTGAGCGTGCCCAGTGATGCGTCTCTGTCTCCAGCCAGTCAGAACTCTCCGTACAGCATCACGCCGGTGTCTCAGGGCTCTCCGGGCAGCTCCGGCATCGGGAGCCCAATGGCTGCATCCGCCATCACCAAGATACACAGCCGGCGCTTCAGAGAGTGAGTACACACACACACACACACACACACACCACTTACACAAACATGTGCAAATACACCACTCACACACACAAACATGCATGCTCAGGCTTGCACACGCACAAACACACATACTCTTACACACACACACATAGGTTTACGCATACACACCACTCACACACACAAACATGCATGCTCAGGCTTGCACACGCGCATAAACACACACACACACACACACACTACTTGTACAAACACACGCACACACAAACATGCATGCTCAGGCTTGCACACGCACAAACACACACACACAAACACACGCATACACACTACTCACACACACAAACTTGCATGCTCAGGCTTGCACACGTGCATAAACACACACACACACACACACAAACATGCATGCTCATGGATTGCACACACATCTTTACACGCACACACACATACACACTACTTACACGCACATGCAGACAAACCACTCACACACAGTTATACACACACATGCACAAATACACATGCAAGCATACATACATGCACACATACACAGGTTTATATACACACACACACACACACACACACACACACACACATATATATATATATATATATTCACGCTTACACTCTTCAAAAAAACACACACACACACACACACTATTGTTTTGTTTGTGATATAGATGGTCTAATTGTACTTTCATTTTGTCCGTATGATTTATATCATCATGTTGCACAGCCCAACAAACGTGTGTGTGTGTGTGTGTGAGTGTGTGTGTGTGTGTGTGTGTGTGTGTGTGTGTTCCAGGTACTGTAATCAGGTGCTGAGTAAGGAGATTGATGAGAGTGTGACGCTGCTGCTGCAGGAGCTGGTGCGCTTTCAGGAGCGTGTCTACCAGAAGGAGCCCAGCAAAGCCAAAGCCAAGCG